ACGCTTAATCAACTGAGCCACTCAGGCGCCCCTAAGATTTTACATTTTTAAGTAATCTCTATACCCAACGTGGGGCTTGAACTTACAAGCACGAGGTCAAGAGGTGTGTTCCACCAGCTGAGCCAGCCAGGCACCCCACCTTTGATAGTAATTTTTAAAAAGAGGTTGCTCTTCCAAAGAGACTCCACATCACCCTAGGCTGCCTGTTGTGCTGTTGAGAAGTTTCTTCTTATATCTTAAAGTCTAACTCAAACCTTCCTTGAAGAAGGTCTCTGCTCATCTTTCCCCCTTGACCTCAATGGATAAGGTAGAGACTGAGTACTATTTTTCCCCTCTAGAAACTCCGGGCTGAACAGTCAAGCAGGCTCAGGCCCTAGCAAGCTACCAGCAGGAGGGTAGGGAGGGCAGTGGTCGCAGGGTAGTTAAGTCAATATTGAATCAGGCTGAGAAGTCTCTGTGCAGGGCCATGGGAGCTGGTGTAGGCAGATTCCAGCCAGACAGTCCAAGCCAGCTCTGGGAGCCCCTGCTGAAAGAGACAGATGGCAAAGAAAGTAACCTGTGCACTCACCTCTCTCTGAACTGTTACTCCCTGTTGCAAGCCCCAAATGTGCTTGGACTAGGCCCTGTCTTGTCTCCTGCCAATTGCTGAAAGGTTCTACCCAAACTTCTTCCCCAAATCAAAGAATTTCAATCTGCTGCTTTGGATGGCGTTTGGCAAACATGTTCTCATGAGGCGTGGACCCAGCTCTGAGAATGAAGCAGGGAAGCTAGGGGAAACAGGATTTCTCTTTGGGGGTATTTGAAAAGAGTGAAAGTCCTCCTAAAAGGGGAGATGAGGAGGCTGTGCTCTGGCTCAGGAGCAAGGAGGGAGACCAGGAAGAAGGGGGAAGAGGAAGCATGATTACTTTCAGACAGCCTAGAGTCGGAAGATGAATGGAACTTCACCAGCCCTTTCACTGTCATAGGCCGGGAGACATGGACACAGGAAGCACGTTTCCAAGTTCTTCTCCAGCCATCTCCCTCCAAGGGCTTTCCCACAAACATACTTCCCACCTATAAAATTTGGATTATGGACCAAGTCCATGAGGAACAGCAGAGGTGGTCAGTAATTTCATGCAGTGGGGCAAAAAAGCAAGGCAAACAGAGGAGGCAGGCCTGGAGCTTGTCTTTCAAACGGACTTATCACCACAGCTGGCAACTAGAAAGACCCAACAGAGAGACCACAATGAAGGAAAAGTCTCAGGTCAGCTAAGCCACTACTAATAAGTGCCTTTTGTCTGAGAAACCCATAATGTTCTGTAAACAAATAAACCAAGTCTAATTTTCCCCTAACCCACATCCTACAAATAGCCTATTACACACCAATGCCCACAGAGTGGGCCATTCTCCCCAAAAGGTCACTCTAGATGTCAAGTGAGGAAGTCATATGCTGAACCCAGGAATCCTGATTCCGAATGTACAACCTTTTTCTAATGTCTCATGTTCCTTTTCCCAGTTACCTCCCAACCCCACCCCAGGCCTAAGCTCTTATAGAATCAACCAAAACTATTCCAGTAAGCCACAGACAGTAAACTGATTCCTGGATCTGGACAGGGGTGGGAAGACACTCTACTCTGTGATGCCTTAAAGACAAGCCTAAAATTAAGTAATCCAAAACAAAATTTCTCACAACCTCATTCAGTCTCCATGCAGGCCTGTTCATCCCTCCTAGTGGCTGATCCTGAGTAGTCAACAAAGTGTAATCTGATAGGGACTTCTTCAAAACTTGCTCCATCCTTCAGAAACACCCTTCTGTCCAGAAAAGCCTGAGTGAGACAGCTGAGGCTCCCCCTCCTCCCAACACATTTTATCTCAGTTCAAGGTTTAGCTGATCCTGAAATAAGTGGTATGTAAAGATGAAGAATGTGACAGAGAGCACATGAAGACCACATGGAAAACAAAATCAAGTGTCACAAGGATCAGAAAAATCCTTGAAATTCGAGGCAGAAGGTGTCAAAGTTGGAAATCCCGAATGGAAAGGGGCACTGTCAGATCTTTTCTCTTCTATAGGAACAAACCTCCAGAGGTTGGGGGGTTTGAGGAGGGATGAAAGGGAAGCTAAAGAAAGTTACAGGGCTCATAAAGCACTCTAGAGAAGAAGGGTAAGAATTAAGGTCAAAGTACAATGCAAATGGTACTTTGGGAATGCCGATGAGGGCCTGAGATTCCTTAAGGAGAGAGGAAGAGACAATTCTTGAAAGCCAGGAGCTGGGTGGGTGGCAGTGAGGTAATGGAATCAGAAACAGAGGAAGAGGGCCACGGGGAAGTGGAACCCAGTGCTGGGGCTGCACGAACACATCGGAGAAAAGGGGCAAAATAGGAAAGGGGATGAAGGCGGAGGCTGTGGGAAAGGTTTGGGGCGGGAACACAGATGACGAGGAAGGGCAAACAAGGGTGGGCATTACAAGAGGTGTCCTGATGTGGAAAGGGTTCATGATTTAATAGAAAATAACTCGGGACAGAGGCAACAGGGACGGGGGGGGGGGGGGGGGGGGGGGGGGTCCCCGGGGCAGAGGGAGGAGCTAAACAGAAGAGGAAGCCAAAAAAGCATAAGAGGACCCTAGGCTTGAGGGAAAAGAGTGGAGAAGACACTCGGGGTGCAGCTGCCACCAGGACGTCAGTTTTGTAGTTGAACCCAGGTGTGGGGGCGGGGAGAGGCTGTGCGGGACAGGGTGGGAGAGGGCCCCCCCACCCCCACTCACAAGGGCCAGGGGGACTCACGGGGTAGGAGTCGCTTACCTCCGGGAGAACCCCGCAGAGGGGGTGCGGGCGGTCGGGGTCGGGCTGCCGACACCGCCGCCTCAGCAGCAGCGGCCGCTCCCGGGTTCCATTGGCCGCCTGCGCTTCCCTGACAGCGGCCGCGGCGGCTGAGCCAGGCCCCGGCTTCGGGGCTGCCCTCGGCGCCGCCTGAGGGGGCCTTCGCGCTGCCTCAAGTTCGACCGAGCCGCACAGCCTCCTCTCCCTCCCTCCACAAAAGCAAGACCAAAAATAACAGACAGATAATAAATAAAATCCCAGCAGGGCTCGAGTCTTCTCGTGAGTCCCAGCAGCTCTTCGTGGGATGTGCCTTCCTGCTTCTTCGATGCTCAGGACCCTACCAATCCCATAGCAATCTAAGGAGTCGGCTGAGCTGCCTGCAACATGCCTGTTCAGAAATAGAAAAGGGGGCGGGGAAGAGGCCTTTGAAAGCAGGAGAGGGAGAAGACGAAGGGAGGAGCCTACGGGTGGGAGGAGGGGTCAATCTTCCTAAGGCTAGGAGGTAGCGTGTGCCAGGCTGGGTAACCGAAAAGGTCGTAAAAGTTACTGGATAAGGGACCGGGCTCCCGCCCTAGAGGAGAGAAGAGCAGGCAAGCAGGCGGGTGCGGATGACCTGTTAGAAAGGAAGTACAGACATATCGGGTATTTCCATAAGTATCTGAGCATGCAAATTATATGTAAATAAGTCCTTTTGCGTTAGCCACCGAGTTACCGTAATTGCTCTCAGTGGCTTTTCCCCCTCCCCTGTTCCACATGACTCTCTTAGTAAATCAGACCGTGGGATATACGCAGGGGACCCAGCCGGGAGAGGAGAAAGAGAAAGGGCGGGCGGGGAAGATAGTCACCCTCAACACCCTTTTCCAATTCATCTTTAAGGAAGCTTCCAAGATTACGCCCCTTGTCGCTTGGGAAATGGCGCGGTCCAACCGCGTCAATCTTTTCACCGTTACCGGCGCGACTCGAGGCCGCGATTCTGCCTCCGAAGTCACCACCTGCCTGGGTCCTTTGGCCTCCAGCCTCCGGACGTTGATCTCTCCAGGGAGGGGCTGGACGGGCCTAAATTGGGAGAGGTGAGTGATCATAACCCCTCTTTCCAAACCAAACCATATGCAGCTAAACAAATAAAAACGCGCCCTGCAATGGACCTCTGGTGTTGGTTTTGTATATTGTCAATATTGATTGATTTGATTGGGAGCCCTTTCTCTCAGAACCTCAGTCCCAGTCTCGCTGGGACATTCGACGTTGAGGCTAGATTTCTGAAGCTAGCCCTGATCTTGGATGCCACCTTCCCTGCCACTTAAAGGCTGTTTCATTTGGGGGGACTGAAGTAACCGCTTTGAACCTGTTTCTAGGTCTGTAAAGTGGATACAGGAATTTTAACACTTCACGGGCTTTGTGAGGATTAAAAGAGGTATAGATTACTACCATGGTACTATATATTACTGTTATTTGGACAACTATATAGGATAATGAAAGAAAAGAGGGTCATTGCTTCTGTGTTTAATAGGGAAGCAGAATAAAGAGTAGTCGCTTTAAAATACCTAGGTAAGGGGCGCCTGGGTGGCTCAGTCGGTTAAGTGTCCGACTTCGACTCAGGTCACGATCTCGCAGCCCGTGAGTTCGAGCCCCACGTCGGGCTCTGGGCTGATGGCTTGGAGCCTGGAGCCTGCTTCTGATTCTGTGTCTCCCTCTCTCTCTGCCCCTCCCCTGTTCATGCTCTGTCTCTCTCTGTCTCAAAAATAAACGTTAAAAAAAAAAATTAAAAAAAAAAAACCTATGTAAAACATGCAATGCAGTATGTACAAAAGTAGAACAAATGGGCTATCCAATTGCTGAAGGAACATAGAGGAGTTTGATGAATTAATATGGAAGGCCTAGCCACTCAGTATTATGGTGAACAAATGAATGGAAGACTTCTCAAAAAATACTATAAGCCAGGTCTTAGAAGAGATATTGGACATGATCCAGCAGAACAAAAAAGGAGAGAGCATTCTGAAGACTAAAAAATTGTATGGTGAAGAATAGAGATGGGAATTTGCTTGAGGGCAAGCTGATAAACTTGGTTAAAGCAGGAGTACAGTTATGAAAGATGAGCGGAGAAAGAGGACAAGAGTGCCATAGAGCCATAGATAGTTTAAATTTGTCACCACTGGTCTGGAGGAGAGAATCACCAACCCACCTGTTAGGTCCTGCAACTCTTGGCCAGCTCCCAATCAGCTGTCAGGCAAGGGTCAAGAGGTGATGATCCTGCTTTAGCCTAGAGTTTAAAATGTCATACATCCCTCCCTTCCAGTGGATAGGATTCCAAAGGGCCTCAGACCAGCTTTTGAAACAGTGTGAAAACGGATGTGAAAGCCCTACTTTTTATAGTAGGAAGTTTTTTATTTTCCAATAACAACAACAAAACAAGATTTCAGGAACATCTCTGTTCAAACTTTAAGTGGAACTTTTTATAGCCATAGGCAGTTATTAAGTCCTTTATTAACCAAGTGAGATCCCCACTTTTTTCCTCCCCTACAAACAATATTAAGCAGAAGTATGTTGATTTTCTGTGTTTATGACTCTAAGGGCTCACGTGTGAACTTCTTTGCATCTCTGTATGACTTGGTCTTTCTTTCTCTGGGGTGGTTGTTGTTGTTACTCTCCTGTTTCTGTGAGTCTCCAAACCCCTCTAGTCCGAACCCAAGGCAGGAAGGGATTCACCTTTGTATTCTAGCTGTAGCTTTAGTTTCTACCACAGGGGCAGAAATTATATTTGTTGATATAGCAACAGATGGAATGCAGAAGCAGATATAAGAATCTAGTTAGGCATTAAAGGGATTTCCAAAAATGTAAAACAATACCAACTGTCTTACCGATTTTTTTTCTTTTTGGTTTGGAAAAAGTTATTTTTCATAAATGAATAAATTAAAAATGTTAACAAGTAAATATTGACTAGTTTTCTTCTCTCATCCTATTTGCTTTCAGTTGTCAAATTATAAAGCTGAATGCTATTCTGTTTCCCATATTAAATTAAAAGCATAACACTTAGGATATCTTCTAAAATTCCCCACCATATTGAACCTATTTTTGAAAATTTTCTTTTGCTAGAAAAAGTACCATTTGCCTCCTTCCTAGGTCCCAGGGAGCCACTGCAGGTGTAGATGGTTGCACATGGATGATGTGACCCTATGGGAAACTGTACTGTCCTATGTGTGTGGGACACCTCTTGTTTTGATGGAAAAGTATATGTGTGTGTGGCACCTTGGAGTATAGGGAAGGCAGGAAAGTACCAATAGGGTCAGGTAATGTCATTTATTTTATTTTGTTTTTTAGAGACAGAGTGTGAGCAGGCGAGAGGGGCAGAGGCAGAGAGAGAGAGAGGAGAGAGAGAGAGAGAGAGAGAGAGAAAGAGAATCCCAAGCAGGCTCAGTACTGATTGCATGGAGCCCAATGTGGGGCTCGATCCCATCACCCTGAGATTGTGACCTGAGCTAAAATCAAGAGTTGGATGCTCAACTGACTGAGCCACCCCATGTCGTTTATTTATTTAAGTTTAACCAAATCAGGTAAAGAAGTTGGCTTAGTCATCAAAAGTTGGTATAACTAGCGGACCCAGTTCATAATGTAACTCCTGTTATATTTTAAATACCCCTGTGGTTAAAGAAATTATAAAGAACAACTTTTTCTCCCTGAGCCACAGAAATTAGGGTTTTTTTTTTTTTCCTCCAGAGAAAAGATAAAGAAGCCAGCAGTTGTTGGCCAAGCCCCTACTGTGTATGAATACAAATATTACCTCCTTTGTTCCTCATTACAACCCTGTGAAAGATATTTTATCCCATTTTATGGAAGCTAAGCTTCAGAACGGTTAAGTCACTTTTTCAAGGTTGTTTTACTTCAAC